AACGCGTGGTCCGATAGTATTAGGCTGCGTCGTTCCCGAAAGACCGGTGCATAATCCGGAAATGCTCGAATTGGTCGTGTCCGGCAACGGAGCGCCGAGAGTACGAAGAGCTCGATTGGGTTATCCTTCAGAAGCGAGATTGTTAGCTTCCCCGAAAATGCAACGATTATTATCAGCCTGCAGGTAAAGTCATGAATAGCGATTTTTAGCAAAAAAAATTTCATTACGCGAATTGCAAATAAAAGTTAAATAACGTTGTTATTTGTTATCCATTGTTCAAATAAAATTTTGTGTTATATTTTTTAACTGATTCTTTTATTTTAGTCGAACAGTCGGAGATCGTGCAACGGAACCGCGAGTAGCACCTACGAAGCTGCATTCGCCGACCGTCGAAAGTTTAAAAGAGATGCATTTGAAAAAAATCAAGCCGAAACCAGAGACCAAGCCGATTCTGCAGAGCTTGAAGGACGGGTTGGAGCACCTAAAACGGAACTCCGTCAAGGAGCGGAATCAACAAACGAAACAGAGTACGGGAAATGGAATTCTGGAGAGGATCTCGAAACTCACTCAGGGTAACAGGAATCGCAATCCCGCAAAAAAGTCGGCCTCCTTCACGTTCGCGGTGAGGCCGGAAATAGCCATGAGATCTCAGGAGCGTTACTCCAGTCTGGAGCCGGAAACTACCTCTCATCAGACCCGCCAGAATCAAAACGCCAAGCAACCGGTGCAGAGATCCGTGTCAACTAGCGTATTGGAGATACCGTGCGTCGAGCTACAACCCAACTATTCTCGCGTGAGAGACAGTCTGACGCCGTTGCCGTCACTTCCAAAGCTGGTCAAGACCAGCAACAATAAAACCGAGGAAATCTATGCAGAGATCTGCGATACAGCGACGGCGAACCAGGCGCAAAAGTGTCCAGGCAGTCACGTGATGGCAAGAATTAGGATCGTCGTGCAGGGCAACGATTCGTCTTTGGGAGCGCACAATGTGATTAGTAACGAGAGATATATGAATTCAATGGCGACAAGCGAACAGATTGACTCGATTATCAGTACAGAAGATGAAGTGATCTATAACACTGTATTTTAAAACTAAGATGTCGTACAAAATGCATTTATAATGCTTATGAACATAAGTGGATAAAATATTTCATTGTAACTCGAGACAGCGATGTATGGAAATTCCTAAAATGTAGGCAAACCGGCTGTGTTCATCGCGTGAGCGATCAACTTTCTATCCGTTGTTTCGAGATGTATCATATTTATGTAAGAGGATATATTAAGAAAATCTGTACAAATATTTTTATAGAAAAATACAGAAATCTTCTGTACATATCTTTGCCATACTATTAATGTACTAACAATTGAGATAAGAACGCGGTTTAAAAATATTTCTTAGAACGATGATTCGTTCAAATTAATTACAAAAAGTATAATTTGCGTCAAAATAAAATTTATCTAATTTTTGTTAAATCTGATTGCTATCACACGGAAATAAAATGTAAAAATATAATGTAAAAAGAAAAAAACAGCGACTCTGTTTGAAAAAAATTTATATTTCATGTCTTTTTTAATTTTTTCAATCTTCTTGACTTTTGCGTACGTTGTCTTTTCTGAGACATGGCGTTGCTATTTGTACTTTTATCAGTATTATTTTCAATTACTTTTTTCATTACTTCGATAGCTTTTTGTGCATCCTGAACTACATTTACGTTCAAATTAGTATCAAGATATTTTCCCGAAAATCCTTTCGGAAATACTGACTTTGATAATAAAGATTGTAATTGATTTTTCTTTGCCTTTAATTGCCGTTTCAACGCTGCTGCTTCTTCTAATTCCGTCGATGATTCACTGAAATAAAAAAGATAGATAATTTATGCAACAAAAATCGAAAAAAAAAATTGTTTATTTCTCTTACTCGTCCTCCTCGTCCAAAATTATTTCCATGTCCTCTGCTGCTTTTTGTAGCCAACTTTTCTGACTGTTCTGCCGACGGTATTTCAATTCTAGTTTATCAATATCACGAGCGATGTCCACTCTTTCTTTTGTGATGACTAGTATCCTGTCTACCACCGGAAATACAGGCAAATCATGCGCTATAACAACACAAATTCACATTATATTTCCAATTAATCATTAAATTATTGAAACAATATTATAAATTTGACATACTGCGTCCGAGAGTTTTGCATAATTTAATGTAATTCTGTTTTTCAGAAGGTTCCATCATTAAAACTGTGATACCTTCCTTTTGTGCTCTTGCCGTTCTACCACTCCTATGTACATAATTCTGTAAAATAATTGTTAAATCGATTATGTAATCAATATTTTAATGTATTTAATTAGAGCCTCTTTCACTAACTCCGATTAAAGCTAATCGATAATTGATTCACAATCATCACAATTGCCAGCATCAGAATTAAACACAGTTTGTCTCAAAAGAGGAAGAGAAAGAAGACGTTGTGATACATTAAACTGCTGTTGACGCTTCTGTGAGTTGATCATAGATTAATTTAACCAGAAATTGATGAGAGTCTTTAACATTTGTAATAGCATCTTAGGCATTCACCTCAGCTGTCCTAGGAACTTGATAATGTATTACATGCTCTATATTAGGTATATCTAAACCTCGCGCAGCTACGTCCGTGGCTATTAACAGTCCATTCTCATCAGCTTGAAATCTATAATGTTTCATATCAATAAATATAAATATTACAAGAAATATTAAATACACAGAACATTTTGAAATATATAGTGTCTCAAGATCAGAGTGCTTAAAATAATATATATTTCCTACCTTTCGAGATTTTTTAAACGCTGTCGTTGTTGCATATTAGCATGCAAAGGTAAAGGCTTGCATTCAAGTATACTGAAAAGAGTGGCCAATCTTTTCACACATCCAATGCTGTTACAAAATACTAATGTCCTTCCGTTATGTCTTTTTAAGAAGTAATAAAGGTAATAATCCTTGTGGTCAATTGTGCATACTATTCGACATTCCGTTAAGTTATCGGCAGTACCTGATGGTATTGATTGAAAATTATAGTTAGTACACACAATTTATTTTTACTAACAATAGATGATTAATATGTATATATACCTGATTCTTTTGTCAAATCAACAATTTTCGGATTTTTTATTTTTAATAACTCTATAATTTTTTGCAATTTCTGCTCAGGGGTAAGTTTACATATTTTACTTCTGACATAACGCTTCTTTTTTTTATCAAGATAATCCGGGAGATCATGCACCATAGTCAATGTAGCCGAAAAAACAAACGTCTGACGTTTCTGCATTTTCACTGGATTTGCATTAATCTTTGCCAATAGATCGTGTAATTCTTGAAAATGACCCTTTTCCATCATTCTATCTGTCTCATCAATAGCTAAATATCTAAATTAATGACATATTTTCTATAATAACATTTCTTGGAATAAATAGTGGAATCACTTCTAATTAGATCCTTAAATTACCTGATAGAATTTATTTGACTTAGATGAGAGTTGCCTTCTTGAATTAATTCCCACAGTCTTCCAGGTGTAGCAATAACAATTTCAGGTCCTTTGTTTAATATCCTTTTTTGCTTTACTGCTGCCATACCTCCAAGGACAACAGCTATCTAATAATAAGATAACATTAGAATTATATTTAACAAATCTATAGACTCTTTGAAAAAGACTTACTTTAATATCTGTATATTTTGCTGCCTGCGTAAGATGGTTTTTTATTTGAATTGCTAATTCACGTGTTGGTGTTAGAATTAGTGCATATAAGGGTTTAGTTGGAATATCATGAGTTGGAATATCACAATCAAGCTCCAAATCATTCACAATATTTACACAATTTTCAAATTCCGATAGAACATTATTTTCTGAATCAGAATCTAAAAAATAATTATCTGTAATATATTTATATCAAAAAATTGATTATAAATACTATTAGTAAGACTTGATTTTATAAAAAAAAATTATTATATTACCTTCAGCTTCTTCTTCAGAAGAATTTTGGTCTTTATTCTGGCTCTTTAAATCCAAGATACCTTTTATAATCGGAATTCCAAATGCTAATGTCTTACCGCTACCAGTTTCAGCAGCACCTAATATATCTCTGCAACCCAGTATAGCAGCTGGTAATGTTTGTGTTTGTATCATGGTAGGAGAATGAAAATTCTGATCAGCTAGAGCTTTTATTACAGCAGTAGGAACACCCATGGAGAGCCATGCTTCAGTATTAATCTTAGCCAAATTTTTATTACTGCTTATATCGCAGTATGAATCATTGTCACTGTCAGAATCAGTTTGTTGATCAGTAATTTTAAAATTTGCTGACTTTACTATCTCATTCTTTTTCTTTGAGTGTTTTGCTTTAATTTTCTTTATCTTCGATTTCTTTGTAGAAGGCTCAATATTGTTGACATTAGTCTCTTCCTGTTCAAGAGGACATTTGCGTTTTGACGCTGACTGCAATATAAAGATTGTAAAATTTAAATAAAAATCTAAAGATGTGAAGAAATAAATACCTACTTTCTTTTCCTCAGTAGATTTCATCACTCTTGTGTTGTTTATAACTTTGCCTTTTTTACTGCTCCGCTCTAAGTCGTCTAACCTCAACAGTCGTCAACTTTAACGCTTAATATCTCGTTTCGGAGGGCAAAGCGACACTTTTTATTACCAGATTCGTTCGTTTCTTCGGTGCAAAAACGTATCGAATGAGTGTGTTTTTATCAAAATTTGAACTGAGCGGAATATTCTATACCTTTACCCAACACGTGATTATCGGTGCTTTTTGAAAGATTTTCGTATACGAATTACGAGCACTGAAATTGTTGATGTTGGTGTCGCTAGTGTACACATTGCGACACAAGTAGGAAGAAGATGGCGTTACATGCGGCAACTACACAGGCTCACAGGGATAGGATAATCGATTGTGTGTGTGGGGCGGCCGGCATGGATGGAGGCTGTCGCCTGTCGGCCGCAACACGAATTTATTTAACGGCTGTTCACGGAGCTCCAAAGCTGTCCAAATAAACCGAACGATGAGCACGATCGGGAGATGATGTTGAGCACGTCTCGCCGAATGGAAACGTCTAACGGTAGTAAGAAGTAGTAAGAAATCGTCTTCACTTTGCGCTTTCCATCATATCTTGATGACGGCGAGAGGGGCAGGGGAAAGGTTGAGGAACGGTCGGCCATCGGGCCGAAATTTGACAACAGCCGACTCGGCTTCGCTTCAATCATGATGTTTAGAATCGCGGGTTTTGACTGTCTTAAATCACGACGCCCGATTGTGGACCGCGAACATATACCGAATGCCCGTGTCAATTCGGATCGGTGCGTCATTGTTGGCGCGATCTAATTTTCGTGGTGTGTGTCGTTTTGACGTTAGGCTGTTGCACCCTAGTATTGAGGACCGGCACCTGCAATACTTGCATTCCCTCCCGTTAAATTGTTTCAGGATATAGTTGTATCGTTGCGCGTTTGATTAAAATCTTATTGTTATTTGAGAAATATCGAATGTTGCATAGTGATTTAATATTAATGTATATATATATATATTTTTTTTTTTGTGTAAAGAAGAATATTTTAATATATGATGATAGTTGATTTAATATTGATATGTAAATAAATTCATTTTTGATCTCAAAATCATACAATGTTATGTTTGTTGCTTAGATCTTGAGTGGAATACTTTAATGGAGGTCCATCATGAGCCGATTGAAAAAAACTATCAACTGCTTGAAGAGATTGGCAAGTAAGTGGACTATTACTTCTATATATAATTGATGATTCTTTTAGTGAAATTTTTATAATCTTCAATGATTTTTGTAATTTTGTGAAATATAGGGGTCAATTTGCTATTGTACGAAAATGCCAGGAGATAAAAACCGGAGCACTGTATGCTGCAAAAATCATGAGGAAGAGACGAGTTGCCAGAGGTGTAGCTGCTGCCGACATTGGTAATATTTTTCTAATTACAATATATTACAAATATTTTCATTTTCTGAATATTATAATAGAATAATTTTTCAGCCCGAGAAGCTGGTCTTTTAGCCCGATTAAGGCATCCTAATATTGTTTCCTTGCACAAGGTAATAGACACAGGAACAACAGTGGTGTTGCTCTTGGAGTTGATTACAGGAGGCGAGTTATTTCATTGGACTCCATCCAGTGAAACAGAAGCTGCTCATGTGGTGGGTGAAAACATTACAATTAGTAAATTATGTATCCTATAAGAATAATTTATTTATATTCTTTTCAAGGTGCGCCAAGTTTTAATGGCACTTAGTCATTTACATTCCCACCAAGTTGCTCATCTGGATATTAAACCTGAGAATATTTTGCTGTCGACACCACCACCGATGCCTAGCATTAAGCTAATAGGTAATGTCTAATGCTTTGTGTTAAAATTAAAAATATAATTTCATTAACATTATATTCAACACAAGTACTGTTTTGTAGATTTAGGTCTATCGCATCGACTGGTACCTGGTTCGGAACACAGAGCTCTATTTGGCACACCTGAATTTGTAGCACCGGAAATCGTAAACTATGAACCACTTAGTTTAGGAACTGATCTTTGGGCTGTTGGTGTATTAACATATATTCTTCTGAGTGGAGCTTCACCATTTTTAGGCGAGGATAAGCAAGAGACATATGCAAACGTTGCTGCTTGCCAATATCAATTTGACAATGAGTATTTTAGTAATGTGTCTGAGATTGCCAAAGACTTTATACGATCCTTGTTGATCAAGGATCCAAAGTAAGTTGCAGGATAATTATGAATTTATTATTAATAAATCGGGGAAGAAAAATTATTTCTTTATTTTAGGGAAAGGGGAAATGCTGAATCGTGCCTTAAACATCCTTGGATTCTCACGGTGTGTTCCTGAAAAGAATGACTCATATTGTCCGATTATGATTTATTTTTGTTTTAATGTATTAATTTTTTGCATTTTGACTAATCTGTCTCGATATGACATTGCTTTGTTATACAGTTATATCGTATATTACATATATATACGAATTATTTTTTATATACAATATATGTTAATATATCAAAAAACAGTACACAAATTTTTCTTTATTACATACATACCTTGATTATTAGAAAGTACAATAATTCTTTGATTTTATTCAGTTACGCAACACGAGATAAATTTATTTTATAATTTCAAAGAAATTGAATTACAATTATATCGAGTTAGCAAAAATTTTATTCTCTTTGTACACAGGAATCTGAAGCTCCTCAAGGTCTCAGTGGAGCAATGATCAGTGCTGTGAAGCGAGGCTGTGTTGAGGCTGTCTCTCGATTACTGTTAGAGGCGGGTGCTCTGTTAAACATGAAAGACTCTGTGAGACATTTTTTTATTCATTTTGCCAATATATTACATACAGAGTATAATCCGCGGATAGAATATAGTTGCACGTTATTATTGCAGAAAGAAGATACTCTTTTGCATATAGCTTGTGAGACCGGCAACGAAGGAATGACAATTTTCCTGATAGAGAGCGGAATTAATCTAGACACATCGAACAAACAAGGTCTCACGGCATTACATGTAGCTGCTCGATACGGGCATATTAATCTGGTCAGACATTTGTGCCTTGCTGGTTGCGACGTTGATAAAACAAATCGAGGGATTCGGGCGGACGTTACGGCGATTAAGTATGGATATCCGGATATTGCAAATTTATTAGATAAGTTGAGAAATGTAAGTTTCTATGTTCCACAATATGCAATGCTTTCCACGTTTGGAAGAATTCATTTAGCAGTCGAATCTTTTTTTAAATCATTTAGCCGAATCAGCGCGAAAATTATATTCGTCAGCTGCAACCGACACGCAGACCGATAGATCGGCTGCACATAAGACTGCTCGGTCATTGTGCCTCCGGAAAAACATCATTAATCAATTCTTTGAAATCTGGGATATTTAGTTTCGGCTTCTTTCGGAGATCGAGAAGCCAGAATTGTAGTGCGAAGGTAAGTGCATAGGATAAAATGCACAATATGATTAATGAGTAATTAATAAAAATAATATTGTTGTACGATATGCAGCGAGAACCAAGTATCGAACTAGATGTGACGAGTAAACATGGTTCTCTTAGTTTTGAATACAGCGACAATGAGTACGAAGGTACTCAGGGGGTAGAATGGAGTCGCGGTAACGTTGGTGAGTGAATTGTATTAAAAAATTTTTACTTTAACATGAATATATAGAGTTATGACTACAGAGTATAAATTCTGAGTATGAATTGAAAAACTCATGTATATGTATAGATATTCATATCACAATGGATTATTTTTTAAATATACAAATATATTTGATTAACCAGGTGGCGAATGCGTTTTTTGGGAGTTATGCGGACGCGAAGAATTTCTGGCGTCTTATCACCATGTACTTACGTTTCAGCAACCAGCAGTGCATCTTATTACAGTCAGTTTGAGAGAACCGCTGACCGTTCAACTTCAGCAAATAAAATTCTGGCTACAATTTATTTTGGACCGTATTTATCCGAGTAACATTGGTAAGATATTATCGCGTGTCAAATCTTTTTTGAATTGTAATTAATTAATTTTTGTCGAAGATAAATTTTGATTTTTAAATCTTGATTTTTGTAATCTTGTTTTTATTAATTTTTTTTTTATTAAAGGATTTGGCGGCAAGTGCAACGACGTAAAAGTAATTTTAGTCGGCACTTACGCGCCGGAACCTTTAGTCCCAAATTCTAACGGCGGCAATCTACTCGCACCACTCTTACCGTTTCTAAAAGACTTTACATCGATTTTGGGGATGGAACCTCAAATGGTAGCACTGGACGCAACTAATTCTTCTAGTCCTGGCCTGAAACTTCTCAGATCTTATTTAAATAATGCAAGAATGGAATTTTTTGAGGTGACACGATTTATATTTTCTGTAAAGTTATACATTTATCATATTTTATTTATAATATTAGAAGAGATATTATCTCATCAATCACTTGTCTATGCAGAAATTAAAATTGCAGAACAATCTCGAGTTCGGCAAATCGTATTTTTTTTCTGATGAGAATTAGTAATCTCTTCTGATTTTACGTTTTTACCATCGGATATTATACATATATCTTTAATCCACTCCAAAATATATATCAGTAAATGCATGATATCAGTATGCTTGATACTAAATATGTGCGAGCAGAACCGTTTGATTCTGCAGCCTGTTAATACAAGCAATTGTGACTAACAACCTTATGTAAATAATCACATTTTCACAGGAAATTGTATCAATTTGTACAGCATGTAATAAATGTGCGCATTAACCCTTCGTGAAACGGTTCTGGTCAATAATGGATTACATCATTACGCTGTTGTTTGTATAATTCATTCATCAATTTCAAAATTCGCAGTGTCAATATACTGTCAAATCAGGCATTGACTCTTAATGGAGGCAATGCAACAATTTCTATAATCATTTATATGATTTTTCTCTGACATCCATGATGCATGGTTGATTTGATATATGTACAAATAATTGAAAGCATTGAAAGTACCTTCTGTGTCTCGTGACTTTCGACGATATTCGATTATTTGCAATGTTTGATTGATTGAGCGCACCATTTCCAATAAAAAGATCCGATATCATGTCATATATACATATATATATATATCACGTTGAATCGAATTTATTAAGAACATATGTTTTAGTTGCTGATTATTTGGCCATTAATGTTTATTAACAAGCCTTAATGCATGCGATGCATGATGTAGGGTGGACCGGAAGTTGCAGAAAGTATTCTCCGACGTGACACGCCGCGTGCTGCGGCTACGTACGTGCCCCTGGCGAATCTTGATAAACAGGTCGAAATACTTCTCTCAATTTCTTTAAAATAATTCTGAATGATGTGTATAAACTGAAATTGTACTTTAGTTCAATAGTTGCACTAATGCTTTCTCCCATGTATACATACATGCACTATATATCTATCTTAAAGAAAATAAAAGAGATTCTTTCTCTTGTATATATTTTCTGCATCAATGTGATATCGAGATAAAAGCAGAATTCTCTGTTACTATGGACGTCAATCATGTATTATAGAGAGCCTTAGTGTGGACTGGTCTCGCCGAAGCATGGAGATCGTACGTGCAGTCATTGGAAGTGCCTCCGTTAATGTTCACTCAGGAAGAATTTCTGAACGAGGTTCGAAGGATCAATCCTTTAGTTTGTTTGGAACATTGCAGACATCTCGGTTTGCAGTTACAGGTATATAATTTAAAATATTTATCTTCAATTTAATCTACATTCTTTTTCTCTAATACAAGTATATATATATATATATTTATATTAAATTACAGAACTTAGGGGAATGTATTCTTCTACCTGGAAATCTGATAGTACTTAATCCCGAATGGTTTTGGCAGGACGTGCTAAATTGGCAATTAAGTCCAGATCAAAGAGGACGATTGGGCGGTCGAACCACCGGCGTTTACACTTTAGAAGATTTTCAAGCACGATGTCCATGCCCCGCCGCTCAAGCTTTAAAAGCTTTACAAGCAGTCAATTTATGCGTTCCGGTATGTTTTAAGAAATTTTATTAATCAATTGATTATTAATTGATTATTATATTTTAGTGCGAAGTAGACGATGATGAAGTGGAATACGAGATACCGTGTTTAAACCTTGTAGAGCGTCTTCCAGGTTTGTGGGAACCGTGGAAACCATCTAATGCGTTACCTCACGCTGGTTTACGCCTTTGCCCAGAGGATGCGCCTTTATACCATCTAACTGCTATATTTATGCATTTACAGGTAATCAATACTTATAATAGAGAAAATATAATAATAGAATTAAAATACATTAAAATTGATATAGGCACAACTGAGAAAAATTACTCAAACGTGGGATCCATCAAATTCGGATCTATATCAATGGTGGCGAGGATCAAAGCTGTGCTTGGGACCTTGCGAGAGTATAATCACTTTTGAGGAAGAGGAACACAGTTGCGTGGAAATTTTAGTTCGCGGTCCATGTGGTTCTAGTGCACAGTGTTTTGCTCTTCTCAGCGTGATCCTGGACGCGATGGATACCACTATTGAATTAGTTGCGCCCGGAATGTTACTTGAGAGACATTGGTTGAGTCCAAGTCAGCTTCGAGAATATGAAGAGGTAAATAAAAATTAAAATATATTTAAATTTAGGTATTATAAAATAGTATTATATTTAAATTTAGGTATTATCAAAAGATTTGGATTATATGCATTTAATCAATACATTTGTAGGTAATTCACTCTTGGGCACCAGCTACCGTCACATCAGCTTTAATCGATAAAGGCCTTGAAGAGGCTACCCTTAAGAATCCTCTAAACGATCAGCAAGAAACCGTGTGGGAGATAGTAAGTTGCGGGCTGCCATTAATGGAAAATTGTATTCCTGGACCGAAGCAACCTGTAAAATACATAAAGCCTGCTGTGCAGCGGCGATTGGCGCAGATGTTGGATCCTCCTGATTATCATGGAAGAGATTGGTGTTTACTCGCCGTGAGACTCGGTTTGGGGGATCGTGTCGCCCAACTGGATAGTACAGAGAAAGTAGATAGTCCAACTTTGAGGTAAGAGCTTTTTTGAAGCATACCGATTGCGTCATAATGTGACTGGAGTATTTCAAAATTTTGTATTTGATCCACAGACTACTGAATTGTGCGGGTACAGAATGTACCGTCGGTTCACTGGTGCAACAATTACGAGCGCTTGATCGTGAAGACGCTGTGCACTTGTTGCTCACGTATACACCAATCTATGTACTATTGATGTCCATCGACTCCGAGACAGAGTCTAATCTTTCCAGATGACGCATTCAGCAATGGCGCATTAGCACTTCTAGGTGTCCTTTTTTCTGATATGCCGCATTTGATGGATAGTATTGTCTTTCTATTTCCGCCCAGTAAATCGTACGTTAATTTGTTAAGTACGTGAACGTCCTTATATGTAACTTAACTTTAATGATCGCATTGCATTTCGAGTTGAGCGATATAAGAAGGATCTGACATATTTTGTACACTGTTTTATATTCTTTTTTTATTTTGTACTTACTAGCCGATGAGATATTTGTTAACTCGTATTATATTAATATGATTACCGTAAACAAAAATTTATATCTTCTTACGCCTTTTAATTTGTATTAATTACTATGCAAAAATTTGTACTGCTTACACTTATTTTTATTTCTTTCTAGAGTTGTGCTGTGGTTAACGTTATTTTAATAAGCGTTGTGTTTTTGTGCAGTTCGTGTTTTTCTCATTACGGAGCTGTTATTCCAGGGAAATGATGCATTTACATATTATAATATGCAGTATGATCGTATTTGATATCGATATTGTTTCGAGCGCTTTTCTTGATATGCCGATATGATCTTGATATATACTACATTATATACATGTATTACATCTTGCCAAACTCTATGTCAATATGCACCGCTTTTTTAATATTTCGGAATATTTACCAAGCATATAAATATGCGCAAAAAGAGTGAAATAACTATTTGCACAGTCTATTATTACCTTTGGATATATCTTGTCTGTGTACATACGATAATTGAGTGCATATTTCTACCGAACCGTATCTACTGTGTGCCATATGCAGCATGTAAAATTATACTCGGAAACACAGAAACTAAAAGGTATAATAGTTAAATGAATTCTTCTGTAACATGACTGAACTGCATTATTTTTTATTGTAAGCTGCATTTACAATTATGAAAGTCTGCTTATCTATATACCTGTAAATTGATCAGAAAAATCAATTTCACATACGTGTAACAACTAAGAAGTATGTATAATTAAAAGTAAGAACATTTGCATCGAAACATCCGTAGAGCTTCATTCACATAGTTTTTTCATCACATGCAGTATCTTATAGTAGCTTAAGCGAATAAGTTACATGTTATAATCTGAGACTGTTGTAAAAATAAACCAGTGAAATTATTAAATATATCTTTCGCTAGATTTAATATAATATTGTCTTATTTTTATTATTATACCATTTTCATTAAATATAGGCTATTTTTGTAGACTCTTATATTTAATTTGTCTTTGTATTTACTAATTTCTAAATTCATAAAATATAAGTTTACACATGATTTATACCCCCTTGATTCGATTCTTTAAATTTCTCAATCTGTTTCCTAAGCATACGATTTTTTTCTATATCATTTCGTAAAATCCTTTTCAGCAGATAACCGATAAAGTTTCAATTTTAAACCTCGGAGCTGTAAGTTTTATTAGTGTAGTTTTATCGAAAGCTCCCGCGTGTGACATCAATCCGTTCGATAGGCACGGCTTCGATCAGCGGGAAGATTCGAAGTGGGTCCACGCCGATTGGCATTTTAATGACTCTTAATGTCGATTGCGGCTATCGACGTGACGATAGGATCGGTCAGGTTGTTTACTATGGGGAGCTGATTACGTGATCGGCAGAAAACAGGAACGGGATTCTTTTCGAGGGCCGAGAATAGCATGGAAACGAGCGGATATCGCGTTTCGTAGGCAGCAGCGGTGACGACGGCGGAGGGTAAGTTTCGGGACGATAGCCAAAGTCCCCAAGCAATTATAGAATTGGATTGGATCGGGGAGTTCGGGAAGGTGGTCGGCACCGCCACCGAAATCGGTTTCGTTTTATTTTAGCTTAGCTGTCGAAGGCATCCGGTTGTGCATTCTCCCCGCAGATCATCGTTACGATCACAGTAAGTGTCCTCTTTAGCAGGAATTTCTCTGTTTGTCCCGTATCATCGCGTGAAATTTATTAAACGGGTGATGATTAATAATAGGGTGATATATGTAGATCGAGAGTTGAATGACGGGGTGAAATTTCACGGCGTATAGCACTGAAGTTCTTGTGATTGCACCACTCTCGTCCTTTTTTAGTCGCTATATTTAAGGTACGAATTTTGCTTATTTCGAACAATTAAGATATTAGTTTAGAATTTTATTAGAATCAATTAGAGTATTCGTATTTTAATTATATGGAAAGAAAGAACAATAGCTGAGGTAGCAAAAAATTTATATAGCTAAATTTTTGACAAATTTGAAAATAATTTTGTTGAAGTAATCATGACGCTGATTGTTAGAATGTCAAAACTTATTACTGCATTGTTCATCATGCTTAAATTTCTTTCGTAATTATTTTGATGGTCCAACAAAATTTTCAAATCTGTACCTACCTAAAATTTTAAATATTTCAACAAAATTGTTCTTTCTGTGTAAGTGCACGATTTATGAATTTTATCGGCTCTGCTCGCATTGTCAGCGTAATTTCCATTTTTATTCATATTTATCGTCTAAAATTGCACTTTAGCTTTACGAGATAAATGTGATATCCAGAATAACTGATAAGGGGAAAGTCCAAAATCGCGCGTTACGATGGAGGCGATCAAGAAGAAGATTGCGGCGCTGAAGCTTGAGATGGATGCCGCAAACGAGAAAGTCGAAGTCAACGAGACAAAAGCGAAACAGGAGAATATAAGAGCAGACAGATTGAACGATGACCTCAGGGATCTACAAAAGCGATTGAGCCAATTGGAACGAGATTATACTGTCACTAAATCTAACTTGGAGCAATCTACTGCCGATCTAGAACAATGCGAGAAATCTTGGTCTAAAGTACGTAATGATTAATATGAATAAATTTTCTAAGATCTCTTCCACAGAGCATATTTTTCTTTTCATAAACTAGTGATATAATTTTTATAATAAAAATAATTTTCTAATATGATCTATTAAAACTATCAATAAAGTTATGATAAGAATTTATCAAAAAAAACAGTAGCAATCAATGTTTTAAGTTCCAATACACACGTATTTAAAGAATCTTTTATCACTTATCAATTAATCGTGTTGTACAGGCTGAACAAGATCGTACCGTTTTAACGAAAAAGGTGCAAGAGATCGAAGCGAGTTTGACTAAAAAGGAGGAACTACGTCTTTCCGCTACAATAAAATTAGCACGTGCGACCGAGCTTGCGGACGACGCACAGAGGTTTATAAATTTATTATCATCAGATTTTGTTTTTTCCAGTCAAAGATAATAATGGTCGAATTTATTGACTATTATATACAGTGCTATCGACGTCAATCGAAATCGATTTGACTAATTTCTTACTTATTTCTACTGGGTACAAATGTGATGTGTATACATATAAAATAAATAGATAAATTATATAAAGGATTCGACAAAGCAATAACGCTACTTTTTTTTTATTCGTATAGAATGTGTAACGTTTTGGCAGATAGGAGTCGTTTGGACGAGGAACGTATGGAGAAATTGATGTCGGAATTAAAGGATGCTAGATTAATTGCTGAAGACGCCGATGCGAAATCTGATGAAATAGCCAGGAAATTGCAATTCGTGGAGGAAGAATTGGAAGCTGCTGAAGAAAGAGTGAAGACTAGCGAGGCGTATGTATAATAATTATAATTTGCATGTTGTATTATATGTATATATATTATACATATATATATATATACTATATAACATTATACATACATTAAATATAAATAAATTCTTTTATTAAAATTTTTTTGTAGAAAAATCGTAGAACGTGAGGATGAACTTTTCATCGTACAGAATATCGTGAAGTCCCTCGAAGTGTCCGAGGAGAAGGTACCATAATATAATACGCTGTGATAATTAATTAATTGCATTGCAACGCTACTTCTTCATTATTTTGATTTTAGGCGAATCAACGGGTAGAAGACTTCAAGGTGCAGCTGAAATTGTTGAAAAAGAAACTGAAGGAAGCGGAGAAGCGCGCAATAACTGCCGAAAGGACGGTGAAGACTTTATTAAAGGAAGTGGACATGAAGGAAGGTAAGAACACCCTCGAAGCTCTTATTTTCAATCGGTATTTTTGATGAATTAAAAATCAAATTTACAAAAATAATGATTCTACTTTCTTTTTTATATCATTGAGAAATTGCTTGTTTCAGACGAACTCAGAGAAGAGAAGGAAAAGTATAAGGCGGTTTGCGACGATATGGACGCGACGTTCGCCGAGATGACAGGATACTAAAAGTCCTGCGGACGGATTCGATTTGACTTTCGCTGTTACTTCTAACTGCTGCTGCTTCCCTCCGCTTATTCGTTACTTTTTGCTATTCATTAGTTCAGTTCGCTATGCTAAATGCCGCTTATATCACAATGCCGATTTGTTTTGCTGTACGAAGTGCCGTGAACGATATTAGAAATAATCTGCTGCGCGCAATAATCCACTGATGGACAATGCAATGTGGCTTGTTACTATAATTGCTTCGCTTCGTGCAATACTTTGCCAAGATTGGCAACTGGTTCACGGTCGCTCATTGTTCGCTATGTTGATCGAAGATTCATTATTTCGTCTGTTTCTTTTTCTTTCAGAGATGTTGGAGGAATTTAATGTCGCGTATGCGCGAGCGAGACCACGATATCGCGCATCCTTTCTACCATTCAGTGTAAAATCTGTATTTTCAATAAACAGTATCACATATTCTCTAATGAGTTTTTATTATTTTATACATCGTGCTGTCAATAGACTAGGATAGTTTTAAAAAAATGACTGAATAAATAATAAATAATAAGAGTAGTGATATATTGCTTTTTAATATAATATTACTAATACTAGGAAAATTATTAATTATTATATTAATTAAATTAATAATTATTAATAATAATAATATTTCCCTAATATTAAATATTATTTATGACATAAATTGACGAAAGATGTAACTATGAAATTGAAATCGTGTTAGCCTTAACATTTACGCATTAAAAATATTAAAAATATGTTATATACAATATAATTCTAAATTGTGTAGTAAATTCAAAGATATATCTGTTATTTTAAACTGCAAAATAGAGCATGTAGCATGTGCTTTTAAAATCTATTTTAAGTAATAATTGTCAAACTAATATAACACAAAGTAAATGTTTGACGATCAATGTATCTGCAATCGGCAACAACCATCGGCACCACTGTTTTAAGAAGCCCAAGAATTCGTTTGAGCCTAACTAAAGCGACTGTTGTTTTTATCCTTTTGCATTGCATTAAGCCTATAAAACATTGTCCCCATCGGTCACTGAGTACAGTAACCCACGGGCATTACATTTTGATACTTCGTTTCTCGTTTCTGTAGTAATTAAAAATTCTGTTAACAAAGTGTAAAGCTCAAAATTATTATTTTTATACGCGACAAAGAATACTCTAAAGTGAAAGTGCTTTATACGGAACTATTCTTTAAAAAACATTCTTGACTACAGTAAAAAAAAATTAAACGTAAAAATAATTATTGTAGATTAAAAATATAAAAAAATTATTAAAAAATCTTTGCCACACAACAAAGTTAATTAAGCAAAATTAATAAAAATATAATTCTTAATATATTTATATTAACTCTTAATATATTTATTAAAATAATTCGCTTGAACGCAACAATTTATCTATTAAAATTTCTGTTAACGTCATTGATTAAAGAGAATATTTCTAATTAATTTTTAACGAAAACATGAATGCTATTAAAAAACGGCTGCAAACGCTAAAGCTCGAGAAAGATCTCGCGATGGACAAAGCTGATCTTTGCGATCAGCAGGCAAAGGAGGCAAATCGAAGGGAAGAAAAATTGAGAGATGAGGTTCGTGAACTGGCCAAAAAGTTAGTGCAAATGGAGCATGATTTAGAAGTGAATAAGGCTCAACTGATCAAGTCAAACAGGAATCTCGAGATAAAGGAGAGAGTCTATATCGTGGTTAGTGAAGTGAATTGGAAGAAATATATCACGCGCGTCTGAATTTAATTTGTCTTTACATCAATTGTAAAATTGCAGACTCAATCGGAACTAGCGGTACTTAATAGAAAAATGCAGCAGTGCATGCAGAATTTAGAAAAGTCGGAGGAGCGACGTTTGTCGGCTCAAGTAAAACTCGCGCAAGCCATGGAAACCGCTGAGGACGCAAAACGGTATATTTCTATATCAAGTTTACTTATTATTAATAAATGTTATAAAAGTGTCACTCTAGAGACTAAATTTTTATTAATAATATTATCGATTTTTTCACAAGAGAAATATTTGTAAGCTGTTATAATCATAAAATCATTCTTACTCCAGTATCTGCAAAGTCCTAGAGAACAGGAGTAAACAGGATGAAGAAAGGATGGATCAATTGATGGCACAGCTGAAGGAAGCGAGACTCATTGCTGAAGATGCTGACACGAAATCGGACGAGATTTCGAGAAAATTGGCATTCGTCGAAGACGAGCTGGAAGCGGCGGAAGAAAGAGTTAAATCGAGCGAGGCGTACGAGACTCTAAATATAGCAATTACGTTCTTTTCTGTTGAATCCTTTCTTACTTTTCTATTTTCAGCTTAAACAGGAATATTTCGCAATCCTACTTTCTAAGATGTTTTACTTTTGCATGAAAAGTTTTTATATATTTATTAAGTTGTGTGAGTGGAATTTTTTAAATCAAATAAGTAAAGATCACTTTCGATTGAGGACTTTGGTTGAATAATTTTGTGTGAATTTTACAATTTTTGTTCAAACAAATAGCTCGTTGATTATTTGTCGATTTGGAATACAACTTCACTGATTATTCGTCGATCTTAAAACTGAACTCACTTCCCAAACTAAAGTTGGATTACGTAATATGAAAAATTAAATTGACAAACAATGAATTAATAATGGAAGCTAATGGATATCCTTAAAATACTGAAAAAAGAATTTATTGCAAAAAGAGAGAGTTTTCACTTAATATTTCTTTTTTTTAAATCACTTAAGCTTAAAAGGTTTTAACATGCTTGACACGTTATATTTTTTGTAGGAAAATTCTCGAGAGGGAGGATGAGTTATTCATCGTTGGCAATATATTCAAATCCTTGGAAGTGTCCGAAGAGAAAGTAGACATTCTTTTATATTAATAATTTATATTTTTCATCTTTAAAAAATTAAGACTACATAAAGAGATTGTTTGTTGCAGGCTAACCAAAGGGTTGAAGAATTTAAAGCGCAGTTAAAGGAATTAAAAGTAAAACTGAAAGCTGCTGAAAAGCGTGCCATTATCGCCGAGAAAACTGTCAAGATATTCACGAAAGAAATGGACAAGAGGGAAGGTAATAATCGTATTATGCATTTTTTATAGATTTTAAATTTTTGAACTTGTTAAAATAAAACGATATTAATTGTTATTAATAAATTGTCGTTCACGTTTTAGATTATCTACTAAAAGAAAAGGAAAAATACAAATACATCTGCGACGATTTGGATTCCACGTTTTCGGAGCTTACGGGATACTAAAATAGACTTCAAATCGATCGTTCGATTACATCGATCGTTAATCAGAAGATTCGCATTGCACAAAAACATAAATATAAACTTTCACGTTTACCGAATATCTTATGAGGTTCGCCCAGAAAATCGATCCTATGTTTACTTTACACGATATCAATTTATTTAATCGATTCTACGATCGACACAATGCATCGAAATGTCGTACCACAGATTTAATACAGTTTAAATTTAATCGACAATTCGTTTTAATCATACAACCTCCGATCGCAGAACGGAGAAAGAATTTGCGAGCTTATTCACTTTATGGAGCTCTGCGATGACTTTTTTGCGCAATCTCGCGCCACGATTGGACCGTCCGCGCCATGCTCGCGCTGGTAAGCGCTTCCTCTCCCTACAATGACATTATTAATTGTAGTTACAATAACAATTGTCCATTTGATTTGTTCGCTCGTTTCCTCCATCCATATAGATGCAACAATTAAAGTATATTCTCCGAGCTGCACGGATTATCGCAAATGACGGGGGATGCACCGAGTTATGTCATTGCATCATCTTTCGAGAACCGTGTAATTATTCGCGATGCAAAATGTATAAAAATCCGATAAACCAATTCAAATGTACTTTATTATCGCGACGAGATTTTAAAGTAACAAATTTCAATCGGATAAATGACGAGATCGTTCAATTCAAATTAGCTTCGTGAAAAATTGTACAGTAAAAAATTCATTGATCAGTCATTAAATACTTTTTCTCACAAATAACTTCTCACACGATTACGATAACGAAGAGAATTAACTGGTCCCTGAAAGGTTACAGCAAGATCTATTGACAGAACTCGGTCGGTCCATGACGCAAGAAAAATGTACAAAAATCGTATCGACGAAAATGTCCCGGCAATCGCACCAAGAGCAAGACGGCGAATCGCACTTCGTCCTCTTCGAAAAGATTGCTCTATCGAATTTAATCGAACACTACGAGTTTGATTGACGTGCTTTCCTTATATACATTAACGAACGCGTCGTACATATCTGTATGCACGCGTCTTGATGCCCGTGTACTCAAACATATTGTATTCTACATACGTATTATCTACGGTCTCGTCTTCGTAGTGTCGCGCACAGCTTTTCTTAAACTTATTGGCATTATCTCGCAATAAAACTGGAAATTCTAAACGTTCCTTAATATTATGTCATAATTAGAATTTCTTAGTCTCTTCCCTAACAGCAAGGATCTTCAGGGAATGTCCTTAGGATGTCTGTATGTTCTTTAAATATCCTAAGGACATCTCCAGAATGCATCCTGAATAAAGTGTGCTATTAGAGTTCTTATACTTCTCTTTCCCATAAGATTAAAATTATTATCGTTTTGTACGATGATGTACTGTAAATTCGGAGCAGCTTCCTTCGCGCTGAAATGAACAAGGAAGTGGAAGAACATTCGCCATCACAGATGTCCAAATATAAAAAAAACATCGTATAATACATTTAACTATTTAAAATGACGTTTATCGACGAGAGAAAACGGATTAAACAGGTTTTTTAACATTAAAAACGTTACCACGAACTTGGTAAAAGTTACAAAAACATGCTTCTTTTTTTCATTCCGGAGTGTATAAAGTGATCTCAATCGGATCCTTTAAGGTCGCGGTAAGTAGTCTGCGGAATGGCAGTGTCGTGGAAATATTGGAAGCTCGCGGCGCAGTAGAATGCACGCGTTAATTAATTAATTCTAATGGCGATTTTTCGTAGTACTTTCGAGTTCAGTCTGAAAAGGAGTTCCGCTGGTACGACTTATTGCGTAATAGTAAGATTGGTCGCGTCGGATCACAAAGTCTCGAAGGTGCACGACATTAGAAGAGAGATCTGAAGAAGGAGAGAGCCACAGCTCTCCTTCAAATGCCTTGGCCGAAATTTATACAGAGCGGAAAACGAGATTGCGCTACGATCAGCTTCGTAGCTTCATACTCGATTCCTCCAGTCGTAACGCGCTTCGCGTACAGGAAAACATTCTACATAGAAGTCTTAGGTTTAATAACGGACTTAAAATAATCAACGGTGCTATTATATATATATATTTATATATATATATATATATATTCGTACGTATATAAACTTTACAATGCAACAGAGCCGAACCGTCAACGATCCGCTTTTTGGAGACTTGGAAGTCCGGTCTCTTCTCCTTTCCTATCCGTTCTTATCCCAATTCTAATAACATGCGCGCACCGAATACAGGATGAGCATGATTTCCAGGATGGCAACAGTTTCGAGCTGCTTCATATATTTATGAGAAACAAAAAGGAAAAACTTATTAAATGTTAATAATATAAATAAAACCTAAACATAAAAAAAATTAAATTACAAAAATTAGCGAAATTATATTAATCAGATATAAATAGCGATAAATTGATATCTATATAATGAGAAATAAAAAATTATAGACAAATAATCAATGATATATCTATATCGAATATCACTTAATTAATGTTATAATCTTTCGATAATTAATTTTGTAATAACAAAAATTATCAAAAAGATTGAAAGGAAGAAAAGCGATATAAAACTGATATAAATAAAAAAACAACTTTTCGGAATGAAAGTGCAGCTTGTCACCTGTCTTGTTCATGATACGCAAAGTACTCCCCCATGCTCTGTTCGTACATACGATTAAGTCTTTGGTCTCGAATGGATCGCCCGCCGGCGAAACGACTCGCAGCGGTCTGAGCAAATTGTCGTTTTGGCACGCATTCGTACACGCGATTCGACGATCATCCACGCATTCGGACTTGGACTCATTCACGCACTTCACGCATTCCACGCATGTGTATCTCGCGTCGCGTCATAGACAAGGAAGAGGAGAAGCACGTACTTATTGATACTTTTGACTAGTTCTCTCGGCTCGATCAACGAAGACACACGTTTATAGCAAAACAGGTCTTATAATGTCGCATTTTGTCATACAGTTAAGTTGATTAAATATTGCAAAAGCTAATATCTCTGAAATGCAAAATTATTATCTTTATATTGTAAAATAATGATGTAATTTAAGAATTTCAGGAATTTAAGATGTTTCATCTGACAAGAAATCATCTTCTACCTGAATGCACACATGTGTCTGTTCCTCTATAATCGTTCGTCCTCGTTGCCTCGATCCTCCCCGATCTTATTTACGCACGCCTCTCCCTCGATCGTCGTTAACGAGCAAAACGTAATTTACCTATCGTCGACAGAAGACGTGGCAGTCGAGTGGCCCTACGAATGGCCACGAGAAAATTCTTGACAAGACACGAAGGGAAGAGATCAATTTACCTAATCTTTGGCCCACGGGATTAAGAGAAAAAGGGGTGCTACCGTGGGAGTTGCGACATCCGGGGGGGGGGGGGGGGAATAGATTAGACGGCGATGGAATAATCCGAGGAGGGATTATTCTGAGTGCTTGGCCGCGACCACAGAGAGCTCCGCAGCCCCAGTTTCAACTTCTTCAGAGAGTCGATGTCGCACTCGGCCTCGCTGAGCTCCGGTCGATCTCCGTTCCCCGGCGTGGGTACAACCGCCCCCTGATTGCTGCCGACGAACGCGGTCTCCGCGACCGAGATCGGCGGTAGTAGTGTGCGTAGAGAGCTCCTGCTGGGAACATGCCATCTTACGAGATAGCCAAAAGAAACAGACAAGCTTACAGATTGTTTATTTAATCGAGTGATTAAATGAGCTTAATTAATTTAGTACCTTTTAATATAATTTTTAATAATTTTATTTTAAAAAACTGTGCGCAGATGTTCCATAATTTTTTATATTTAATTTAAAGATTTAAACGATGCAAAGGTTTGTTTCACATCAGAATTATTCTAATTGTATTTTTTGTATATTTTTGTGTATTTTAACATTATATTCTATGAGAGATTGGAAATTGGAAAATTACAATAAAATGGACCTGATTACTAATTTATACGTTTTGCTATTTTATATTCGTTACCTTGATCGCCCCCTCCGTGGCAGTGACTTCTGTTCGGACATTGGAGAAATGTCCGAAGACGTGCTCGACGTGCCGTGATAGATAAAGTCCGAGACCGCGCGAACTGAAACGACAGTGCATTTAGAATGTCAATTAGTTGAACGTTTCGATAAACTCTTCAGATTAGAACGTACTATGTTTTAATTTTCCAACGTCCAGCTGATTCGACGACTCCGTGCGCGAGCTTATCAGTTGGTCCGGGTCAGATTCGCTCTCGTCGCTCTCGACATCGCCTGGGGTTTGCTGCTTTCTCTGCTGCCGCCTTCTCGACGAGACGCTCTTCATGCTCTGCACAAATTGGATCTTTGCAAGATACAATACATAACAGAATTCCAAGTTAGTTTTAATCTTCAATCGATTTGCATTGTTAAAATTAACAATTATATTATTTACAATTTATACAAATTAAAATTATACATATTATAAATATGTAATTTAATTTAATATAATATATATGTATGTAATATATTAGGTATATATAATAATTTAATGTAATATAATTTATAATTAATAATTTAATATTATATATATACTATAATATTCCATATTCCACATATGCACACATGTTTAGGTAATGGTATATTTGTATATTGATTGAATTTCAAAACTAGATGGAGTAATTAATAAAATCCTAGTGAGAAGGGAAGAGGCGTATACCGTCGCCGCTGGTGGAGGGCTCGCACACCCTTCGGTCATGGCATGCTCGTGATACATGAAGCTGTGTAGAAGAGTGTTGTTCGGGTGGAGACCGGCCGCCGTGGCCTCCGCCGCGCCTCCCAGTCCACCCAATGCGCCTAACCCTGCCAGGCTTCCCCCGCCACCCTCCGAAAGCTGGAACGTAGCGTACGGCGAAATGTCCTCCGCTGTCTCTGTAACCCATCAGAGGCATTGCCTACCTTTCAAATCGCGTCGGGCTAACTGTCTCAGTCGTTCATCCATTTCAATTTCATCATCACGAACAAAAACGCACAAAATTGAGTTTATCTTTCAATTTGATAATTATTTCTTACTACACTAAGACACTAATTTGTGATTATTTTTCATTTTTAAGACTGATTGAAGAACATTAAATAGATTTTTTTTCTATTTAAATTAATTGATTTTGTGCTTTAGAAACGAGTAATATGATAGACACTTTAAACAAATTAAAAAAGAAACTTTTTTTCAACAAAATAAAAAAATTTTACGTAAAAAGAAAAAATTTTAAATAAAATTTTATTAAAATTAATTTCTTTAAGCAGTCTTGTTTTACTGTTGAGCGGCGCTAAAGCCGACTCGTACCTGCGCAACAGTAATTATAGTACCAAACCTGGTAGTTGTCCATATCGTAACAAAGGTTCACCTGGAATCTTGTCGGGCCCTGCACCCGTATTTGCCGCTTGCTGTAATGCTACTTTATGTATCGTGGCATAATAACGTTCTCGCTGTGTCTCTGCATTCTGTTGATTCTCTTGCGATTCTTTCATCGGCCGTTGCATTTGACCTCCCAAGTATCCTGACAAATAATTCTTCTTGAGTATATTACATAAATTAAATATTTATTTAAATGTCAAAAAATACATAAAAATAATTGAAAAGCGAAAGAAATAACTATTTAAATATAAAACTTGTAATATTTATTTAACAAATTTATAATACATGAAGATAATTTTACGAGAAAAATCTGAATTACGTGTTCAATTAAACTGAACTCACTATTCTTCCAGCGAAAAGCGACGATCACCGCTGCGGCGACCAAGGCGATAGTAGCCACTAACAATGGCAATATCACCTTAACATCAGCATAAAACGGCATGGCCGATGTCATTCCGCGTTTCGACAATCCTGGCGGCGGTGTTTCTGTAAAGTTACAGGAACACAGTGCTTTTGGATATAAGCCATTAAATTTAGTTTGATCGGACGGTGCAGACGCATCTTCGATCACCATATTATTTTCCGATGAAAGTTGCGCTATATTAATCCTTAAATCTCTCTGTGAGAATAACACACTGGTGTATAACAACTTAATTCGGTTGTTTATAATTTTCATAAAAAAATTAATATATCATAAAAAGGTTTTTTTTTTAATCAAAACGTCTAACATTAAGGAATATAAGTACTCAACAAATGTGTATATATGTTTATTAATAAAAATAAGTTATAATTAATGGGACAGGCATTGGAAAAAAGCCGATATCACATAGAAAAGGCATTTAAGGATTAAGCATTTTCATGCTTTAGTTGATCTACATTCAAACTTACCACCTTCCTTCGTCAACGTTACAAACGTAAACTCTGCCTGATTGCTGCCGGCCACGTTATGAGCCTCAACTTTGAGTTGGTAGACCGAGCTGGGAGTTAAATTCGTTACGACGAATCGCCGTTGCATCTTGATATTGTTTGACACCAGAGTCCAATGAAACTCATTTATTGGCCTGTACTGTATAACGAAATATTTTATGGGGCAACCGTTATCAGGCCAGACGTGCAATCGCAGTACTAAAGTGGTGGAATTTGGATTGAGGAAGGCAGCCGCCGGTGGGATGCCCGGAGCTTGGCCCTGAGTTCGAACTGAGAGCACCGGTGACGATGGACTGCTACCGATTTTATTATGCGATGTTAGATACAATTGATACGTGTTTCCGCACAGGAGCCCCTGTTAAAGTAATTATGATTTTAATCAATTTAGTTTATAGGCTAACAGAAATCTCCAGCGTATAACATTATTTTAATTAATTACAGAGTTCGTTAATCGATTTTCATTAATGGTTCATTATTCAAAATACATGTTAACTATTCATTGTATTGCATTTTTTTAAAATAAATTCCTGTATTATGCGTATTATTAACGTATTCACTATTATAATATCTTACGATTCGCTTGAAACAAATAATATTTTTCTATTAACAATTATTACAAATTAATCTCTGGAAAGTACCTTTAGCTCGTGACTAGTGGCATGGCGAGATAGTTGCAACTCGTCAAGAGTACCGTGATTAGTCCGATAATACAGCGTGTAACCCGTCAAAGGTGCACCGCCATTATGCTCGGATTTCCAATGTAATAATACGCTGCTCGACGTAGAGCTAGTTACGTACAATACGGGAGCACTAGGTGGAACTGTAACAGTAAATTTTAAACTGTAGTGCATTCTAGACTAATATTCTGCTAAATTAGAGTCTATATAAGTTGATTTAGCAATTATCTATTAAAACCTATTTATCAGAATATTAGTCTCGTTATTATATATGTATAACAGCAATTATTAGACATCATAATAGCTCATGGATAAATAATTGTTTTGACATTAATCTTCTGTTTGTAATATATCTTTTTGG